CTAAGTTAATAAATAGTATATCTTCTTGGAGCGTTCTCGTGGGATGAAATGTAGTTTGCTATGCACAAGCAAGCACGCACACATACACGCCTGGTGCACACTGCCTCACGTGCAGGTTGCTTGTGGTGGGAGCTTTAGAAGCATGCAGCTGGTGACAGCAGCAGTAGCTGTGGGAGGAATTGCTGTACTTTATTTAGCCCCTGGATTGTGTATATACATATATACACATCATTTTTGTAGGTTGCTTATAAGTTTATGTTAGTTCTGTTTGGAAAGTCGATAAAGAAGTGACCTTGAAGTCTTTCCTGATAAGTGGGAGAGTTTAAAGCACAGGATGGAATGAGTACAAAGGAGCTTGGCTTTAGCAATGCCACTTAGCCAATATCGTGCCTCTGCTCCATACCGAGCATGGACAGACATTACGGAGATGCAAAAATGATGTAAGACGGCATCTTTCTTTAGTGATAGCGATCCCACATTTGTAAGCAAAACCTTACTTTTGCACTTCACATTTATAGATTCTCATAGCAACAGGGGAGTGGAATTTCGTGAGGACTTGTCAGCGATGATTGAATTTTACACCAGTCTTTGTGACTTTGTTGAACACATAAAGCATTAATTGGTCCTCGGTTCCTTCTTATTTTGCTGTGCTTTAATAAATCAGCTTCTTCTGTTTTATTCATTGACACATTTAAGATTTCATTTCTCTCCTTATCGCTCATGGCTGTGTCTGAAACAGCTTTCTGGGCAGATTCCTAATCCAAATGAAAATCAACACCAGAAACGAATTCATTTCATGTTTTTAAAACTATCTGTTCAGTTGCTCTTTTAACAAATATGAGACAATATGGCACCTTCAAAATAAAGCAGATCACAAGAGATCAGGGAGGTAGAAACTCTTAACCGGAGGGTTGCTATAAAGGCTTGTCACTTACGGCCAAAGTCAATCTGGACTGAGGGTCCCTGGGGAATTACATCAACAGGCTAGAATAAAAGATTCAATCAGCTCGAGTAATGAAATGTGAAATATTAGGAAATAAGAGCTGAGGATGAGAAAAAGTGATGGTTCTTCTCAGAGGAAGCCAGGTTGGGCTGGACCTGAACAATACCCACCCCTTCTCACCATATAAAGATGACATCCCTAACTCTGTGGAGTCCAAAAAAACCATCTGCTACTCATCCCGGGACAGGCTAAAAGTCTAATTTGCTGATCAGGACAGCTTTGATCTGGCTTGGGGCCTGGTGTCATCTCCTGTTTTCTTCACTCTGATGGGCAGAAATGATATTTTCTTGAGCAATCTGAGAAGTTCTGAGGAGGAAAATTCTGTTTCTGATTTGGGTAGTGAATTTGAGGGAATTTGGAGCGTGCAAGATGCGCCACCGGGCTTGCCACCAGATTTTGAGACATTCTTAAAATGGAATCTAAACTTCAAGTGCTTTATTGTTCCGTTTTCACATACAGAGTCTCTGGACTCCCTGTCCCGTGATGTGGACCGAGTGCAACTTTTCCTTTAAATTACAGTGTCAGATCTTGTATGCATGCGTTATGATTAATGGGGTTACCCCGTGTGGTTCCAGTTTTCAGAACATCATTTTTCTTCAAGATTGCATGCGCCTTGGTGGTCTTTGCCTTTTCTTTCTAAAGATAGACACAAAAAAATTATCTGGTACTGTGGCTTCTCTTAATGATGAAAACCCTGCCTTAGATCTTTCTGGTAATTTACACCTAAATATCTTTTCCAGTGACAGTAACTTCCTCTTGAAATGACCCAGCTGGAATTTCCACTTAAGGCAGGATGAGAAAGGAGAGAGGATGTTTTTGTTTCTTTTCTCTCCATTCCTTTCAACCTTACCCTGTCTCCATCACCTTCCTGTTCCACTCCCTTTCCACCCCTGCTCACTACTCAAGTTGCATTTAGTTAACGTGGTTGGGGGAAAAAATAAATAAAAGCACAATGTTGATTTGGAATTCTGCAGGCTTCCCTATATCAATAGCACTTACCACTAAATTGCTGTTTATATATAAAAGCTCTGAGTAGCTTTTTGTTTAAGTCTATTATTAAATGTATAATATAATATATAGGTGTCTGTACCTGATATCTATATATAGATGGGGCAGATTCCTATTGCAAACCCAACATCCTAAAATTTTTATTGTTCATGTTTGGGGTTGGCAAGAGGTGGTTATTTATTAGACTCAGAAATGCTACGTACACTTGGAGTGTTTATTCTGGATTTGTTTCTGTGCATTGAAAGTGTCTGGTGCAGCTGAAGAACAAGTACAGTGAGCCAAGTGGGAAAACATCATGAAATATCTTGAATCCAGGCACAAGCCATTGAAAAAAAAAAAAAATTGGCAAAGGAATGTGACCATGAGGGTGAGGTAAAATGGGAAGAATGCAGCAGGCCATCTCTCAACAGCAGCATATCTGAAAACATGGAAACAGGCTGCTTCTGGGCCATTTATGCATTGATTTAGGGATGAGACCTTTGGAAAATAAGGCTGCACATGTACCCATAATCCAAATGAAGTAGATAGACCTTTTTTAATGATCCATCAGTCGCAGTTCTGGGTATATATATATTCAAAAGAATTGAAACACGATTTCAAGAGATACTTGCACACCCATGTTCATTGCAGCTCCATTCACAATAGCCAAGAAGTGACAGCAGCCCAAATGTCTGTTGGCAGATGAATTAATAAAGAAAATATGGTATATGCATGCAGTGGAATACCATGCAGCCTAGAAAGATGGAACTCCTATAACATGGATAAACCTTGAGGACATAATTTTAAGTGAAATAAGCCAGTCACAAAAAGACAAATGCTGTGTAACTCCACCGATAAGAGGTACCTAGAGTAGTCAAACTCATAGAAGCAGAAAGTAGAATGGTTGTTGCCAGGGTCGGGGGAAGGGAGAACAGGGAGTTACTCAGTGGGTAGGGTTTCAGTCATGCAAGATGAAAAACTCTAGAGACCTGTTGTACAGCAGTGTGCGTACAGGTAACAACACTATTGCACACCTATTAATTCTTAAAAAGGTAAATTTGTGCAATATGATTTTTACCACAATTTAAAAAATAAGAAATATCTTTTCAAAATCAACAATTAAAAATACAGGAAGTTGCCCTGGCCACTGTGGCTCAGTTGGTTGGGCATTGTCCAGTGCACCGAAAGAGAAGGAAAGGTTGCCAGTTCGATTCTCCTTCAGGGCACATGCCTGGGTTGTGGCTCCATCTCCAGCTCGATCCCAGGTAGGGGGCAGGCAGGAGGCAGCCAATAGATCCCTGTTTTGCTCTCACATCAATGTTTCTCTTTCTCTCCCTCTTCCCCTTCCTCTATCTCCAAAAATCAATTTTTAAAAATGTGTTTAATACAGGAAGTTTTTGAATGTAGAAGTGGGTAGGGCTCTGCTTACCCAGACGTTTTGCAAGCATTCAATGTGGAGGCTCAGAAGACGGCCAGTGAAGTCTGTTCATCAAGAAACAACCTTCCCTGCCTGCCAAAGGCACTCTGAGGACTCCTGCACACTTTTCAGATTATTTAAGAAAAGAGTTCAAGGCTTGTCTCCTCTCTCATCACCATATCTATGTGGCTCTGTATATTTTCTGGTGTATTGGTTCCTACGTTAGAGGTATCAGAGGAGCAAAGGAAAGACAGAACTGATGGCCTCTTGTGGGGCTCAGTCAGTCTGGACATCAATCTAGGTCCAAAGCAACTAACAAGAGTCCACTCAGACGTCCTCAGGTTGCACTGAAGGACTTTTAGGGGAGGATTTGTTTCTAGGGAGTTATGCAGATCCTTCTTCCCATGAAGCTTCAATTTCTTTCCAGATCTCCTAATCTTCACACTCTTCCTAAAGGATGCACCTTATAACAACAGGGCTTCGTTTTCAGCTGCCTCTCCTCTTACGCCTTGCTGATGACCTTCCACCTCGGTTTTCCTACCTATAAAATATGGAGAATATATTTGTCTTGATGCTAAAGAAAGCTTTACTGATGTCTCCAATAACTGCTGTGAGGCTACCAGCTCGTCCTACAAGCCTTGTGCATTCCCAGCAGGAGTGATATTAGCCCCAAGGGGCAAAAATGGATGCTTGTCAGGACGCAGGGATTTAAAAAATTTTAGATATTACAGCGGTTCTCAAAATCTTATCCCATAGTGTTTAATTTCTCTTGTTAAGGAGAATCTGAATTAATTTTTTTTTTTTTTTGCCTTAGTGAAATGGTCTTGCCAAGGAGAATGTCTGAGCCACATTCAATCCAAGAGGAAACAATGATGTAGTTCTCACATTTTGATTAAAGAAAATAGAGAAATAGCTAATTTCCTTCTATGACATACAAGCATGCACTTAGCACTGTAATTTCATATCAAGAGCACTGGGTTGAACCTGGTTTTTAGTATTCATGTTAGATCTTTGAGAAATCCTTGTTCTTCCATGTAACAGTTCTATGAATTCTAAAATGTTCGTAAGCAAATGTTCCGTCTGTGACAGAGCATACCTTTTGCTAAAAACCTGCGACTCCCCCAACATGACAGTGCTCAGAGGGCAGGGGAGAGACTGTGTGCTTTTGTTCCTTGTGCTACCAGTGCCTAACTCAGTGTTTGGTTGCTGGTCGAGCACGTGTAGATTATTAAAAATATTGGGGTTATGAAAGAACTTTAGCTTTAACTAGAGCTGGGACTAGGGTGAGGCAAGTGAGATGTCTAGGGCATAACACTTAAGGAGAAACTTGCCCAACCCTTAGGTTTTAGGTCAAAGGCTTCCCCTAGTCCAGTTCCCAGCCCTCCTCCCCCGCAAAGTTGAATTACAAAGTCGATTAGCAAAGGCGATTCTCTGGAAGTGATATGGTCATAGGAGCCCAGGAACAAGGAATTGAAAACAACGATTTCATCACCCCTCCATTCTGCTTTTATAAGTAAATTAGTAAATTTCTTTCTACTTGCATGTGATTCACACTGAACCCATAACCCTAAAGTTTCCCGCTCTGTCTTCTAGATCACTACGGACCTGAGGCAGCGGTGCACCGACAACCACACCGGGACGTCAGCCTCCGCCCCCATGGCTGCGGGCATCATCGCACTGGCCCTGGAAGCCAAGTAAGCCTTTATCTCCATCTGTCTCCACTGGCGACAACCCCTTATCTCAGGGACAATTTACCTAGTCCCTAGTGTATAATCCCTAGCACAACCCAGAATATAATCTTCCCAATCCCAACTCGAAAACTTCAGAGATTAGGGCTTTAAAAAAATGTTTTTTCTATATTAAGGAAAAAGGCAACCTTTTTATTTTTGGTTTTCATATTCCCTAAAAAATCAAACTGTGTCATTACTTTATCATGGAGTCATGTGCAAGCATGCCAGTTGGCTCCAACACTCTTGCCTTGTCAGGGTTTTCATTCTAGTCTGGGAATGTTCCTGTGAGTCTCAGAGTGGTCAGGCCTGCCCACTTCTGGGCCCTTTCCCTGCAGATCCGATTCCATGACAACGGTACCATCACAGACACAGTCTGGGGGACAGAAGAGTTCAAGGTGATGTGACAGGAGCCCCAGAACAAGGACAACCCACTTACCTTAAATCCCGTTTAATGTAGTCAAATTCTGTGTCTGAAGATCCCTTTGAAAGGCCCCCTGAGGTTATTTGTAACGCGTCCCATCTCTTCTTTCTCTAAGCACCAGTAGATTGATTTATCTGAGCTCTTTGAAAACCCAGTGCAAATCCACACTCTTACTCTCCATTTCAAAATCCAAATGCCCAGAACACTGAAGGTTCTTTTGCAAAATTAACACCAAAACTCATTTAATGGCAAAGCATGCCCTGATTTGATTTGAGGCTATTGACAGTATTTATTGTGAAAATGCCTATATTTTGCTGCAGAAATATTCGTGTATTTGATTATGAAGCACTGACTCAGAACTCATTGGAGGTTTGTATAATACATGCTGTAGACAGCTATCTGAAAAAAAAGTCTGAATTTTAAATACATTTGGTACAAGGACTTTAGAAAAGGGATTATGGGCCTGCACTCAGAGGCTCTCCTTACAAGAATATCGTAACAACACAGAATTGAAGTAATGATAGGAGTGCTTTTCCAAATATAGCCTTGCGCCCCTGCCCTAGGGAGGAATGAAAATATTCTTCCATCTAGTGTACCCTGATGTAGAGCCAGAGCAGGTGACAGGAAAAGAATACAACAATCAGAACATACTCGGGTATTATAGCAGAAAGGTACTTCTTATTCTTAGTACACGGGTGGCCTTGCAACTTTTCCAGCCGCCCCTCTGTAAGGCAGTTGGGCCTTTAATGTAATACGGATACAGTAAGTTGCTAAATTGTGTAACTCCTTGGACTGAGACGGGTAGACCAGCATAGGCTTTGGATATGGAATATCTTATCTTAGTCCTTTTGGGCTGCTATAACAAAATCACATAAACTGAGTAGCTTATAAACCACAAACATTATTTCTCACAGCCTGAAGGCTGGGAAGTTCAACACTAAGATGCCAGGAGGTGTCTGGTGAGAACCCACTTCCTAGATGGCCTCATGTAACAGAAGGAAGGGGCAAGGGAGCTCTCTGGGTTCTCTCTTGTAAAGGCGCTAAACCCATTCATAGGGCTCCCCCTGCGTGACCTAACTATCTCCCGAAGGCCCCAGCTCCCATCATCATCAACATATGAATTAGGGGGGTGGGGGCGGCACAGATATTTAGACCATAGCAGTTGTCATATCATTTGACTCCCATGAACGTTTCTATTTCTTTCTTTTTGACGAGGTTAAATATTAAATCGTTTCAATATATTATATCTTTTAAAGTGTTAACAGTTTGGTTTGAGCAAGGATCTGGCGCTTACCCTGTTACATTCTCACTTTACAACTTTTCACTGGACTATTCTGACAGCAGATGTCTGGATTAAGTGCCTGTGTTTTTAATTTGGTGACTGTAAACTGGATTTTTGAGGAATATATCATCTTCATTCTGAAACTCTAGATTGTTTTTCTGGAACATCTTCCTGTCCACAAAATATTGAAGGGAAAAAATTGGGAATTCTTCCTGCACTTCCCCGTTCCCCCCAAAAAAGATATAATCTCAAACTTGGTAACTTTGTACAGTAACTGTGGCTGTATGATACTCAGTTTCTTGAGATATTACTACAGCACTAGTGTGTTTAGTAATTATCTTGACCACTCTTTAAGTTCAGATGAAAAATCCTTGCTCTGTTCCTCAAACGGCCCACTCAGTTGGATAAGGTCATTTGGGGGCTGGGAACACACCAAGAGGCTGCATCTGTTTTCTTTCCCTTGCATTTTGAACATTTTTTAAGATTGATTTTTGCCAAAACTGTGATGGGTGGAGGGAAGGTCCCAAGATACAGTTTACCTGGAAAATCCACCGTACTTTAAGATTTTAAATAGTCTAGTTCAATAGCCGGGCCAAAGTACAGGGTAAATCATCCGATAAAATGAGAAACAATAAATCTTTTCTTGTAACTCCATCGTTTTGTGCTACAGGCCAATCTTTGCTTGTAAGTGAAGCTGAACGTCAGGGGAAAGAGGTCGGAGAACTGAGAGTGGTTCAGGCATTGACGTTCCACTAGGATCAGTAAGCAGGGGCCTGAGTGAAAACGATGTAAAACCAGGAGATTGTAGTGAGGCTCTCCAATAACAGTGAACCGAGGTCCAGTCATTCTGAGCTAAGCCCAACCCTGGGGAGATGCCTCACCCATCGCCCAGCCCCACCCCTGGCGATCTCCGCTTACGCTGATACTTCTCAACACTTAACCTTGGCATTCTGAGCTTCAACCTTTACTCTCAGACGTTGAACAGCCCGATCTACAAGGTACTCCCTTGTAAGGAGAGAGGAGAGAAAGCCACAGCTGGGCAGAACCATGGCTCAGGACACTGCCAGCCCTTCAGATATGTGCCCCTGCGCAGGCCACGTGAGTCAGTGAGTGAGAGGGAGTGTTCGGGTGAAAAGCTGCACTCAGGGGCTGCCAGTCCTTAGTGTACTGTGTGTCCCAGCTATTCTTGCAAAAGGAGAAATGCATTGTTTCCCCTCATATCAGTAGATTCGAGAATTTGCTCAGGGGAAACTCCCACATCCTTGGCCTTGTCCCCAGGAGCTTGCCTACACCAGCTGATTTACCTGTATCAGAAGATGGGGGATCCTACCTGGAATGCATTGCAACCATTGACCTCTCTGCCATTGTGTTTTCCTTCCTTCCTTCCTTCCTTCCTTCCTTCCTTCCTTCCTTCCTTCCTTCCTTCCTTCCTTCCTTCCTTCTTTCTTTCTTTCTTTCTTTTTCTTTATATAGTTTATTGATTTTTAGAGAGGGAGGAGGGAGAGAAACATCAGTGTAAGAGTGCAACATGGATGGGCTGCCTCCTGCACCCCCCTACTGGGGACTGAGCCTGCAACCCAGGCATGTGCCCTGACCAGGAATCGAACCGGCAACCTTCTGATGCATGGGACAACGCCCAACCAACTGAGCCACACCGGCCAGGGCCTCCCTGCCATTCTAATTCTTCTTGCTCCCCTAAGGTCAGAACTTTTCCAAAAAACCTTCTTAGGAAACTAAGAGAAAAGAAAACAAATACAAAACATAGAAACAGATAAGCTTAAAGTATCCAGATCTCTTATCTGGGCTCAACAAAAGTTTGGTCATGAATTACCTCTGCTGTGACAGCTGCTAGGACTCCCAGGCCGTCCTTTCCTATGGGGTATGTAAGGACATGTGTTGCAACAAATTCCACTGTGACCCCCACCCCCACCCCCGGGTACTTGGGTAAAAGTGTGCTACTCCCAAGGATTCTTAGTTCCTCTAAAAATCTGCCTCCTTTCCCTTTTTTCCTGGATTGGAGCCGTTTTAAGTTCTACAACCACCTCTGACAGTCTAATCATGAACTTTGCCTCAGTTTGTCAATTAAGCAATTTCTTCCTGCTCCCAAAGATGTTTCCTGGGTGCAGAAAGTCTTAAATCCTTTACCCTTCTAAAAACCATGAGCAATTTCAGAATAAGAGAAAATATTGTCATCTCGGAGGAGAAGAAAAGTGTTTGTGTGTTGGGGTACCCTCATCACATATGTATTGGTTGAGAGGCTTATAATATTTCAATTATTTAGATTTTGTGGACTTTAGGTAATTTCTGGTTTCCCAGCCGAATGAATAGGGAATATATAATCAGTGATTATGAGGGAACCAATTACCATTTGGTAATGATGTCTTTTTTTATAGCATAACTCAAAAAATTCAAATAAAGTGAGTGTCTGGGTACAGTTTTCTTAAATGAAACATGACTAATAGTTTTAGATGAGCAACCTAGAAGAACGTCAAGTCACATTTGCAAGGCTAGTTTATATCACCAGTACTCTAGACGTGTGGAAAGAAAAAAAAGTTGCTAGCAAATGATGTTTCATATAAAATGGTTTGTAAAATAAAGTTGAAATAACTTACATGCATAAGTGTTGAGAATCATAAACTATGTTTTACCGAAAGTTTTCCTCATCTGAGTCTGCGGCCGTTAGCAAAGAAGAGCAATTTTAGTAGAGTATTTTATATGTTAAATTATCAGCATTAGCTCAGGAAATTAAAATTTTAAGTTCACCAAAGAAACCTTTTGGCCTGGAATTGCAAATAGTCTGTCATTGGAAAATTGAACAATATAAGTTCAGCAATCATGAAATATTGCATTGTGAATGGTAAATAAAAGGGAGTGAGTTGGGTAGAAACTTCTGAAATTATTTAGGACTTAGAAAGTATTGATATAAAGAATCTTCCACAAATCCTTGTTTTTAAGTGACCCAAAAGCCTTTGCCTCAAATTTCATATCTCAGGGGATATAGGAATAGGATACCTTCCTTTGAGAAGGTCTAATATACCTTGATCTAAATTTAGCAAATAAACAGATTGGGGTGGCAGTTGTTATTCTGTACTAGAAACACACCTGGAACCTATTAAACAGTACCTGTCCCTGTTATGTTATGTTATGCAGTATATACATACGTGCACACGCAGTTCTAGGTAGGCTTATTTACTTTCTTATTAGTCTCTATTTTCTCCTATTTCAGTAGTCCTGTTACCACTGATTTATAGCATGTACTAT